ATGGCAGTGCACACACGGACATACACTCACACATACATGCATGCACACATACTTGCACACACATATGTACACACTAACATGCATGCACACATACACCCACACTCGCACACATATTTGTACACACACACACACACACACACACACTCACATGCATACATTTGCACACACACATATACCCACACTCGCAAACATATTTGTACACACACACTCGCATGCATAAATTTGCACACACACATACACCCACACTCGCACACATATTTGTACAGACACACTCGCATACAAACATTTGCACACACAAACACACACATACAAATACACAAACACATGCATGGATACATAAAATCAAGTACGCAGAAACACATGCGCACACACATACATGCATACAAATACATATACTGTACAGAAACGCATGCACGCACATGGACATACACACACACACACACTCACACTTGTTCATACATCTACACATTTACACGCATACAAACACACGTGCACGCACAAGTATACAAAAAAACACATACATAAAGACACGCACACTTGTGAATACACACACACATTCGCACACTTACAAACACAGAGGCTCGCATACAAACAAAATATGAACACATGCATACAAACAAATACACAGACACATGCGCGCGCACACATGCATACAAACACACATACATAGACAAATGCGCACACACATACATAAACGCACACTGCTACATATATGCACATAAATATAAACAAATACACACACACAACTACGTGCATACAGACACAGGCATACAAACAAATGCACACACACACGCACACACATACATGCATACATAAACGCACACTACTGCATACGTACACACATTCAAACACACACATATGCACACATATAGATGCATACAAACAAACACACACACACACACACAAATACACAGACACACTCATGCACGTACACATACACACACACATATATATATATATATATATAAATCAACACATGCACACTCTCTCTCACTGTGTTTGTTGTCGTTCAGGTTCACGTTCTACGACGGGCCGCCCTTCGCCACAGGTCTGCCTCACTATGGTCATATTCTGGCGGGAACCATCAAGGACATCGTGACGCGATTCGCTCATCAGAACGGCTTCCACGTGGAGCGGCGCTTCGGCTGGGACTGCCATGGCCTGCCGGTGGTGAGAAAACACAAAGATAATCTAAACTGCCTTAAAGAGCAGAGGAAATGGTGTCACACTGCAAATAAAGAAGAGTTTTTCTCCTGTTTCCAGTCCAAATATCTAAAAACCCAAAAATCAAGAAGTTTTTACCAGACAAGCAAAACATATCGTCTTGTTTTAAGGATAAACTCACTTAATTTTGACTCATTATTTCTGAAAACAAGACGATTTCTTTTGCTTGTCTTGAAAATTCTTCCTGATTTAAGAACTTTAAGATATTTGGACTGTAAACAAGACAGAAAAGCATTTGTTTGCAGTGTACAGTGGTTTAATATTGTGTTGAGTCTTCTACAACTGGTTCAACTGCGTCTGGTAAAATAAGTAAAGTCTGTGGCTGTTGTTGTTCTTCTTCAGGAGTATGAGATCGATAAATCTCTGAACATCAAAGGACCCGAGGATGTGATGAAGATGGGCATCGAGGAGTACAACAAACAGTGCCGGAGCATCGTCATGAGATATGCTGATGAGTGGGAGGTATGAGTGTGTGCGTCTGTGTGTGCGTGTTTGTGTTTGTGTTTGTTTGGTTTTTAACCTCTAAACTAAGAGTAAAATATAGTTATTGTAGTTTCTGAACACTGTTAGCATTAAGGGCTGCAATATTTAGTTTTTCTGGAGTATATGATGTGATATTGGCGGCACGGTGGCTCAGTGGTTAGCACTGTCACCTCACAGCAAGAAGCTGGTTCGAGTCCCAGTTGTCGTTTCTGTGTGGTTTGCATGTTCTCCACGTGTTGGAGTGGGTTTCCTCTGGGTCCTAAGGTTTCCCCCACAGTCCAGACACATGCGCTATAGGGGAATTGATTGACTAAATTGGCCGTAGTGTATGTGTGTGTGTGAAATCTGAGTGTGTATGGGTGTTTCCCAGTACTGGGTTGCAGCTGGAAGGGCATCCGCTGTGTAAAACATATGTTTGTTAAGTTGGCGGTTCATTCCACTGTGGCGACCCCGGATTAATAAGGGACTAAGCCGAAAGAAAATGAATGAATGAACATGATGCGTCAGTCCATAGGGTTTTTGTCAGGGTAACGGATAACAGGATGCCAGATTTTGTCAAATTGCTCAGGTTTTCTTTTCAAACAGTACCTAACCCACTCCAAGTGTAACGTAGAAGTCCTTTCTTCAAGCCACTAATTCATTCATTTATTTTCCTTTCGGCTTAGTTCCTGTATTAATCAGGGGTTGCCACAGCGGAATGAACCGCCAACTTATCCAGCATATATTTTACGCAGCAGATGCTCTTCCAGCTGCAACCCATCACTGGGAAACACTTATACCCACTCATACACAGCGGACATTTTGGCGTACCCAATTCCCCTATAGCGCATGTGTTTGGATTGTGGGGGGAAACCGGAGACACGTGCAAACATGGGGAGAACATGCAAACTCCACAAAGAAACGCCAACTGACCCAACTGAGGCTCAAACCAGCGACCTTCATGCTGTGAGGTGAAATTGCTAGCCACTGCGCCACCGCGTCGCCCTCAAGCCACTAATTGTTATTTATTAATTACTCTTATTGCAGAACTCGGTGAGGCGGATGGGGCGCTGGATTGACTTCAGGAACGACTATAAGACCCTCTACCCCTGGTTCATGGAGACTGTGTGGTGAGAGCTGCTTGAAACACATATACACACACACAAACACAAACAAACATGGCATACTGAGTAATGAGTATTTGTCTAATTTTGTGGATTTCCTGTCTCATCGGTTTCCCGTGCAGCACATGTGAGTTGCTATTGTAGCTACTGATGTTTAGAAGAAAGATGTTTTATTAAGGGATTTATTGTATTTGACAATTGGGACTAACAAAACCCAGAAACAATTATCTAACTAATGCTGTGATGATTTAATATTTGTGCAATAATTCCAAAATTAATTTTGAATAATTATAAAATATTAATGATGACGATGATGACAATAATACTAACAATGAATTATATTTCTCATCATCATGCTGCCTTAAATGTGCTTTAATGCAAGTTATCTGCTATATAAAGTCCTGCTGTTACTCTATGGAAAATAAATCGATGGTTTGCATCAAACACAAATGAAGCGTTGCAGTAAGAAATATTTATTTTGTACTGCTGTTTTTATATGCATATCAATTTAATAAATAGTAGCCTATTTCTGCTACAAAACAAACGAAATAATATAATAAATCATTCAATTCAATGCTGAAAGGTGCAAAGCAGTCATCAGTAATTAAATAGAAAAATAATATACACCTCAAGAAAGAACGGACAAAAGAAAGGAGAAAAAGTCTCACTTTTAAAAGTTTTGGTTTCGGTTCTTGTCGATTTAATGCTCAGCCTTGTTACGCGCTGAATTACCTTTTTCTGTGTTTGTGGAAAAGCATGCGAGTCAGCCGGCCCAATATGAGGAGGGCAGAGCAGGATTCTCCCAATAACCACCGACGCAATACTGTTCTTTGTTATAACCCGCATCAGTTTAAACGCAGTAAAGGCAAGCTTCTTTGGCAATGGTGTTTTAGTGGACATTTGCGCTGTTGCAGCCTGATCTCACGAGGAAACGTATAAAAAAGTTACGAATTGCCGTGAGATTGTCATCTGACAGCGGAAAGTCTTGAGTGATTGACAGCTAATATGAACCAATATAGCAGCAGGGAAGAGCTATTCAGCACGTTTTTAGAAAAAAAATAAAAAAATAAAATAACAGGTCGCACTCCAACCTAAATATTCAGTCGCACGAATGCTCCCAATATATATTATGAGGTCGCATAGCTTAAAATTCGGGCGCATATGCGACCAAAATGGTCGCTATTTCGAGCCCTGGTATGACACAGGTATTACAAAAAGCAGGTAAAATATGGGGACATTGGTGACGTCCTCATTTCTCAGAAAGCTTATAAATCCCACAGGATGAGTTTAATCAGAGAGTAAAGCTGCACACTGACTCCTGTGATGGTTGGGTTAGGGGGAGGTCTGGGGTGAGGGCAATACAATATACAGTTTGTATAACGGTATAAAATGAATGGAAGCCTATGAAATGTACCCACTTTTCACAAAAACAAATGTGTGTGTGTGTGTGTGTGTGTGTGTGTGTTCAGGTGGGTGTTTAAGCAGCTGTATGACAGTGGTCTGGTGTACCGCGGGGTGAAGGTGATGCCGTTCTCCACCGCCTGCAACACTCCGCTCTCCAACTTTGAGGCCAATCAGAACTACAAGGTAATGCTGTGTGTGTGCGTGTGTTGCGCGTGCGTGTGCGTGCGTGTGTGCGTGTGTGTGTGTGTGTGTGTGTGTGTGTGTGTGTGTGTGAGATCATGTATGTGTTCATGTGTGTGCTGTGTGTTAGTGAAAGATGTTGGTGTGTGTGAGAGAGAGAGATGTTCGTGTGTGTGTGTGTGTGAGATCATTTATGTGTTCAAGTGTGTACTGTGTGTTAGTGAAAGATGTTGGTGTGTGTGTGAGAGAGAGATGTTCGTGTGTATGTGTATGTGTATGTGTATGTGTGTGTGTGTGTGTGTGTGTGTGTGTGTGTGTGTGTGTGTGTGTGTGTGTGTGAGATCATTTATGTGTTCATGTGTGTACTGTGTGTTAGTGAAAGATGTTGGTGTGTGTGAGAGAGAGAGATGTTCGTGTGTGTGTGTGTGTGAGATCATTTATGTGTTCAAGTGTGTACTGTGTGTTAGTGAAAGATGTTGGTGTGTGTGTGAGAGAGAGATGTTCGTGTGTGTGTGTGTGTGTGTGTGTGTGAGATCATTTATGTGTTCATGTGTGTACTGTGTGTTAGTGAAAGATGTTGGTGTGTGTGTGAGAGAGAGAGATGTTCGTGTGTGTGTGTGTGTTGTTGTACTATGTATGTGTGATGTTGTTAATATGTATGTGTGTGTGTGTGCAGGATGTGCAGGACCCGTCAGTGATCGTCAATTTCCCGTTGCTGGAGGATCCGTCTGTCAGCTTGATCGCCTGGACCACCACACCCTGGACCCTCCCCAGCAACCTGGCACTCTGCGTCAACCCAGAGCTCATCTACGTCCGGGTCAAAGGTCAGCACAGTTACTTTACAAATACATTTATTCATTTTCCCCCTATTGCCATCATCAACTAGGCGTACAACAACAGCACAGCACAAATCCACACTGTTCTACTTCATATCTAAAACAAATCCATCAGTAACATTAATGCAAAATACAAAAAAAATGATAAATTAATAACAGTAATAATAAAAATACAAACACTAAAGCAGCGTGGAGTGAGTAAATGGCTGATTGTGTTGTCTTTCCACCATATATGTGTTTGTGACCCAGTTGTGAGAGTCCAGCAGGTGGCGCTGTGTGTGTTCAGCCGTTCTTCAGCTCTGCTTCTGCTGCAGGAGAGACTCGTGCTGAATACCAATGAAAATACAGCTTTATTAGCATGGCGTTTTGTTGCAGTATTGCCAGAGCTTTTCATGATGCATGCAATATTTAACAATAAATATTAATATTTTCAAAGTAATGAACAAAAAATTATAATTAAAAAATATTAATAAAATTATTAATAAAAACAATAAAATTAATACATAAACATTATATTAAATATAATAAATAATAAATTATATATATTCTCTCTCTCTGTCTCTCTCTCTCACACATATTGTTGTAAATAATTAAGATTATTAATACCAAAATAAAATTTATATTTTATCAAATAAATAAATAGATAAAATATTAATAATAATAACAGTAAAATGTATACAATAAATGAAAAATTAATTCTAGGAGAAAAACTCTCTCTGTTCAGGGGTTTTCCGTCACATCTGAGTGTGTCTGTTATGACTCAGCTGATCTGTGCTCAACTTAAATCAATGTATTGCCAAAGCATTTCTGATGTTTACATAGATCATATGAAAAAGGTTTATAGTATTACAAACAAACAAAACCCATAATCAATAATGGTTATCAGTATGTTTAACAATCTACAGTTTAGGATAAAACAATAACAATACTCATGAATAATAAGTAACGATCTTTAACAATGTTTAACAATCAGCATTTTAATCATTCATACAAATGTAGAAGCTGACACGATTTTTAGATTTCCATCATCATTCACATCATCATTCACATCATCAAGAACCACATAATTATTGGATTTAATTACTTCAAAATAAAATTCAGCTCAGGATAACTTGGTTTCTGATTCTGGCACATGTATCTGTTAACTGAGTTATTTAAAAATCTAAATTAATACAAATGCCTTTTCCATACATCCCAATTCATCCACCACAATCCATCCATCCATCACAATTCATTCTATCCCAGTCCATCCCACTCCATCCGTCCATCCATTCCATCCCAATTCATCCTAATCTATCCCAATCCATCCCAATCCATCCATCCATCTGTCCATTCCAATTCATCCCAATCATTCATCCATCCCATCCCAATCCGTCCCTCAATCCCAATCCAATCCAATCATCCATCTATCCATCCATCCCAGTTCATCTACTCCAATCCTTCCCAATCCATCCATCTGTCCATCCCAGTCCATTCCAATCCATCCAAATCCCTCCCAATCTATCCATCCCAGTCCATCCATCCCAATCCCTCTCAATCAATCCCACTCCATCCATCCATCCATCCATCCATCCATCCCAATCTTTCCCGATCCATCCATTCCAACCCATCTGTCCATCCCAGTCCATCCCAATCCATCCAAATCCCTCCCAATCTATCCATCCCAGTCCATCCATCCCAATCCCTCTCAATCAATCCCACTCCATCCATCCATCCATTCCTATCCTTCGTGATGCATCCATTCCAACTCATCTGTCCATCCCAGTCCATCCCAATCCATCCAAATCCCTCCCAATCCATCCATCTCATCCCAGTCCATCCCTCCCAATCC